AGTATTGAATGATGGAGACTCTTATGGCTCTCCTAAACTGAGCCAGATTGTTTCTGTAATTTAAGGCACATTTGGCACAAGGGTTAGCATAGATGCATTGTTTCAGACACCTAATATGAACCCCCAGCATTGTTCAATCCCTTATACTGAGACATAATTCAGAAAATATTTATTTCTTCTGCCATTGTCCCAGCAGTGATTCCCAAAGGATGCCTAACACACAAATGCTGCTTTGAGCTATCTATGAAATGTGACAGCAATCATTTTGTGTTTAAAAAAGTAAAACAGAGCACTGATTTCTTTTCAACATTTTATGAAGAGAGATTTTCTGAGAGCACAGACCTCCTAGGAGCCGGGGAAGGAAGCAGAGACTTACTGAATGGGCGCAGAACTGAAACCTGGAAATTTCTGAGGTGGAATACTGACCCTTCTTGGAGTCAGAAGGTGTTTAGTCACTGACATTAGTAGAAGTAGGATTTCATGTTCCATATCTGATGCTGAATGTTTCAATTATGCCTTTCTTTGTCAAGATTTTTAGTTCCGTTTTTATCTTTCACAAAAATCAGTCAGATTAATGCACATTCTCTTTGTCAAAGTGGTGTGAAGATAACTTTCAGGTAGAAGACCTCTAAAGACTTTTGTTTCACAAAAGTAAGTTGAAAATGAAAGCTACAGTACTATTCATGGCTTTAGCAATATTGCCTTGGTGTCTCCCAGTCTTTGGAAATGGAAGGCTCTAATTCAGTAGTTATTTGATTCCTGCAACTCTAGCATTGTCTTTTTGTCACTGGTGAGTGCCATGCATGGCATTTTTGACCCAAGATTGCATTATTGGAAATGTGTCTGTTTTTCTTTTATACTGCAACTTTTCTTTTGGTGAAAACTTGTACTTTTTGCACAGGCACAGCTGCAGAAGTGAGAACATTTATTTTTCCTTAAGAGAGACTTATGCGAGCATCTAGCATAGATGCATTGTTTCAGACACCTAATATGAGCCCCCAGCACCGTTCAATCCCTTATACTGAGGCATAATTCAGAAAATATTTTTTTCTTCTACCATTGTCCCAGCAGTCATTTTGGGAGCATGTATTGAACAGGCCAATTGCAAAACTGCTTGAAAAACAAGCACAGATTTAGACTATATGTTTAACTATATGTTAGACTATATGTTTAACAGCTCTTTCAATGAAATCAGCAGGTTACCCATATGCTCTGTGTGCTGAACTCCTCAGTGCTCACCTGAACTTGTACAGCATAGAGTATGATGGTGGGCTTCAGAAGCACTGCTGACATGAAACAGATCTGCACCTTAGCATCACAACTGAGCTCCATGAGACTCGATCAGATTTATAAAGTGGAACAAAGTCTAAAGTCCAGAGAAGCTAAACAAAAATGAAAAAATATTGTACACAGGGACTGTGAGTTCCCTAGCTAGATTCCCACAACAGAGGAGGTCTGCATTAGATTAGAATACCTGATCGTTATGCAAGGGCTGGAGTTCTGCTCTGTGGCTTTGGAGATTTCTTCCAAGACAGACTTTAGAGACGTTAAATTCTATGTAGTAGTTCTTGACTTCTGGAGTACAACAGTTGATTTTTTTTCCTAACACAGTGAGTTACATTTTTTGCAATGTTCCTTTGCTTACAACCCCAAACTGAGACATATGGTAGGCATCATAGTTAAGTGCTAGGGAGCCTGGTTTCTGAACACTCTCTTCCTGCAGTGTAGTTCAAGTGCATCACTCTTACCAGAACTAGCAGGAACTCTCCAGCTGTTGTGACTCTGCCACGGTGCAAATGTGGGTGGGCAGCACAGCTGTCTCTAGGACCATGGTATGATGCCTTACCTCTGCACAAGAACTGAGAGCTGATTCCTACAGGAATTGTGAAGCAAGCTTTCATGCTCCCTGCCGCCTCTCTGTAAGCACACATGCAGCACAGGTCACATTAAGAGACGCTCATGACATGAGGAATGGTGGGTAGAGGAAGGAATGGCTAAAATCTCTTTAGCATAAAGAGAGTTGAAGCAGGAGTTCAAAACTTCTGGAAATTTCCTGCTATCTTTAGCCTCTCAGAAAGACAGGAGAGAATAAGGTCTCTGCTCTCAGCCGCACTCTGTCTCTCTGTCTTGCTTATTCACGTCCTGTCCTTGCCTTGCCTCTGCTCCTCCCTCCCAGCTCCATCCCATCCACAACTTTCCGAAGTTCTCTAACAACACAGTTCCCTCTATTGTAGGCTATCCTTTGAAACCTCGTGGTCCAAATAGTCCAAAATGCCTCACCTCTGTTCATTTTTTCTCTCTTGGTAGACAGGTCAATCATTCAAACAGAAAATCCTTTGCTTATACCACCCTTTGTAACATGCCGGAGGTCAAAGTGCTTCATAATTGGGGTGTGAAGTTGGCACATCTTGTATAGGTAATGAAGCACATCTGGGTATCAAAATAACCGCTTTTCTGCAGAAATCTAATACTAACTAGGTTATCATAAAATACTACAATAGAGTGTTTTTTTCCTTTTTTTTAAATCTCATAACCAGTTTTCTGATGCTTTCAGAAATATGAAATACTTTATTTTTCTCTGAAATTAAATACTCAATTTGGTTTTGAATTCTATGCTAAAATGTGTATAATACTACCATAATTAAATACTACTAATATCTGTACAAACAGCCTGTCTCTGTGACTAAAATATCTCTTTTCATATAAACTTCAGTATTTTCATGTTCTTTCAAACAACAGGAAAAATATGAATCACAGGAAACGTTGGTGTGTGTTCAGTTAGGAAAAAGAGGAATTTTCGTGTACTCAGGACTGACTGACTCGAATAATTAATATCCTATTATTCAATTTTTTTTAAGCTTTCCCCCACTTTTTGACTCTTTTCCTGGATTCATTTTGCTGGTAGGACAGCCAAACACATGTTTTCCCTCAAGAGCAGTGTTAATAAGAATGGCAGCCTAGTTTTAAGGGCTCTTAAACAAGAATGTTTATTTATGCCATTTGAGTGCAACTTCATTTCTAATGCTAGCATGGCAATCCTTACAAACTTTGCCCAATGGAACAACTAATGTTTTTCCTTTCAATATTAATTTACATTTGATTGATAAAATACTATGAAGCTCATTATTTATATATAGATTGACAGAATGGGCAAGCTGAGTCCCAAAGGTAAGATGATTCTACATACTAAAGAAAGCATTGCACATTGTCCATCATTCTCTCATCATTAAAACTGAACTGCTAAGTTTAGATTTTAGACTTGGAATGGGGCCTGCAGCTAAGAGGTTTTCTTTAAAAAAGATCGTTGACCTTTCAGTTAGGAAGTGGAAGAAGAAATATTGCCTCAACACTAAGAACATAGGCCTAAAAACAACTTCTTTGGAAAAAATGCAAAAATGAAGAGAAATTTTATTCTGTGGGTTTTTCTGTCTCAGTCTCCAGGGGGGGAAAAAAAAAAGAGTTTAAACGCAAATGAGGAGTCCAGCTGTTATGTTTTTTGTTTGTTTTGTCTATGTAGGCTGCCAAGTTGGTAAATATGTAAGTTGTAAAATCGTAGTCATTGAAGCCTGCTGCACTTCCTCAACTCTGATTTCCATCTGTCTGAATTTGGTGTGTACAAACTCACTGTTCGTGTTTCTAGTGTGTGATCTTCTGGAAGGTGGGGGATGAGAGTGAAGAAAGTGGTCTCTGGGCACAGACTTTCCATTGAACGGCCAAGGAGATATATAGCCTGTCAGCTCCACTTTTCCAACTAGTGCATACGCTCAGATAGATGTAGATGAACTTTCATACTAAATAAATGTCAGTTTTTTGTAGGTGGATTTTTTTCATTTCTTTTTTCTTTTTTTTTTATCACTTTGTGAGTTTATTTTAGATGAAGTCTTTTGCTAAACCTTCTGTAACCAAAATTTGCAGATGTTATTTTCTTAACGTTATTTCCAATATTAATTGTAGAGTGAAATTAATAAGTAGATACATGGTATCTGTTGGGTCATTTCTGGCAACAATTTCCCTAGAAAAAAATGTGCTAAAGCTCTCCGCATAAGCAGTCAGAGGACTTGCTCATCTTTAACAGATAAGCAAAGCAGAAAAGCTCATTGAAATGGCTACAAATAATTAGAAACTTACCCATGGCTCTTCAAGGATCTTTGTTTTCATTGTGACTTAGGTCTCTGGAAAATGGTCCATAGTGTATTGAACTGAATTTATTCGACTATGAAAATAAGTTAAAGGGAGTTTGTCCACTTGACGTGCAGAATAGAGTTCAGTAGTTCTCAAAGAAAAGATTTATCGTGAGATTTTAGCTAGCCTGGTAAAATAGTGGGCTAGGTTATGAAAGATTCAGAAAACAGCCTTGGATCTCTTTAGCATTCTAAAACCCAATGCAAAGGCATCAATAAATACTTTATTTATCTTACTGATACAAATTTAATCTCTACATCTCATTATGGGTTCAAAGAAAGATTCCATGTTTTCTAAAGAAAACCTGCTTTGTTAAAATACAATTATTACTTTTCCAGAAGAAACAAAAAATTTAGGAAAGGAGTAGAAAAATGTGCCTGTCTCAAAGACTAAAATATTTAAATAAATAAAAAGAGGATAGACATTGAATTCTGTACACATATTTCTTTTTTTTTCCTTTATTTACTGTGTTATAATTAAGTTTTAACATATAACATTACTTAACTTTAGAATTCCTATATTAAATTGACTGATTAATCATGAAATGATGAATTGTCACTGATCTTCATTGCCTTCAGAACAGTTTTTGTAATAACATATTTTTCTTCACATTGAATTGCCCTACAACATATATTTGGCTAAATAACAGATTTATCTTTTAGCATTTATGTTATTCTTTGTATCTGATTATCATTTTAATTATTTTTAGAAATATTTCCTAATTGAATGAGATGTGAAAAAATGCATTTTGCTTAATGCAGCAAAGACTTAAGCATTTGTCTGTAAAGATTTTCGTGGCATACAGCAGTACTGGCTCCTGCAAAAGCTTAGATGAGGTTACCAACTGGCAAACGGGGTAGACACATATATGCGTAAGGTGTTTTGCTCAAGTTGATGGGATTACCATCCAGTCTGACATCTTCAAGAGCCCTACGGACATAATTAAAATCTTTCATTTTGCAGAAAGTATCTTCATGCATCTCTTGAATGTTGTTGTTCTAAAAAAGAAAATACATAATATCTATCAGGATAGCTTCTTGAAAAACATTTTGAATCTTTGAAGGCTTAAAGAGATTCTAGTTTGAACCCAAATGCCAGACTGTGGCTGTAAGTAGCCACCTGAGAAGTCCCTTAAGCAGGGGGAATCTCTCAGACAGTGTAAAGCTTCAGAGTAAAATAACTCAAACTGTGTAGCAGAAATGGCCTTTGCAGAGGAGCCTGGATGAAGAATAGAGCAATTCTGCTTTCAGGGATCACGCTGAACAGTCTTACTCCATACGCTTTGGGAACATCATAAGCCAGTCAAAAACATCAGAGAACCATAATTATCATCCTGACAGCTTGAAATGTTCAACCTGCAAAGCCACAGATCTGGAATTTGATGTGTGACAAATAACTTTCCCTCAGGCCTTCTCGCATTAGCCAGTCCACAGTTGTATTTTTACAGAAAATGTGTATATACGGAAAATTGAATGCTTCAGAATTTGTTTCTTTCATATAAATCCCTCTTATATAGCTTATCTTCACTGAGCTTTTATTCTTGAAGCGAACATTTTCAATAATGAAGTACTAAGATCCAACACTATATGTAAATTGAGACTAAAAAATTACCTAAATAATTATCTTTAATGATTCTAAAATAAAGATCATCCAAAAATTCTTGCTTTATTACGCTATTTTGTACTCAGGAATTAGTGCTGAGAAAAATCTAGCTTACTAGCTTTATTGATCTGTAACATGCAGTACTGACTAGTTATTTTATAGTTATGGCAAGATGAAAACAATACTTAAAAACAATATTTTTTTAAAAATATGTATTGCAAAGTCTAATGATTGATGTACACCTGATTTAAATTTTAATTCTTCCAAATCTTGCAATCATTAATCAATTGTATGATTGCAACAATTTATTTAGTCCAGTCAAGGACACTTTTGAATAAATTGAAGAAACAAAACAGAAGATAATAGTTACTCTTTCCAATTTTACTTACTATTTGAAAATGATATATAGAGTCTTTGGTTTTGTGGCCTACCTGAAGATGAAGAGCTTGGAGACTTTCAGGGAGTGGCAAGGGAATATGATCCAAGTTATTGTCAGTGATGTAAAGATGCTGCAGTTCATGCAGATCCTGGAGGATGAAGGAAGAAAGCAGAAAAAGAAATGCATGCATGTTAGAAATTTCTTGAAAATCTCTGGAAAATAGTTTTGAAATCCACCACTCTAATAAGCAACATTGGGTACTGGCTCACTTTGTTTCAGTGTGGCAGGGATGATAAGGTACAAACTGAAAGATAGTCATAGACTTTCATTTACACAGGTTGAGGCTATTACTGATACAGATCAACCATTTGGGTTCAAATAAGGGAAAAGTGACTAGAGACTTTGAGATGTATTTAACTAGAGACTTCATTTCAGTGATGTTGTTCTAACGTGAAGAATGCCCGAGCCTTTATGCAGAACAGCTTTTTGTTCAGTCTGTTTCCTTGCTCTTACAACAAGCTTACTCAATGTGGCAGAAGCCCATTGGTGGTGAAGCAAATTACATCTGAATAACAAATGTCTAAGCCAAAAAGAATTCTTTCACATCCCTTTGATAAGGTAAATCATGCAGTCCCATGGCGTGGTGGAAGAAGCAGCTTGATCTGACAGTGTAGCGAGAACTCCTGTGAAAGGAATGGCAAGGAATATGTGAGCACAGGCCTACGCACACTGACCAGATTCCCACCAAGGTTGGATGTGCATACTGTGTATTGTCAAAGGTGTCTATATGCTTCTCAGCCGGTAGCTGCTCAAAGATAACACACCTGAGATAAGGAAATAGTCTTGTAGATTTAAGGGGCCCTTACACTACAACAAATTTGGTCCTTCCTGGACCTCTGACGCTTGTGTTCAACAGTTTCCTATCAGCAACGCCTCCTCACAGTTCCCAGTGCTCGCTGTGCATTTGGTGTGTAAGCCCCCTATTAAATCTAGCCTTCTTAGCCCCTCATGAACCTTGACTGTCTCTCTATACTGGTAACCAATCCTCCCTTTCCTTGCACTCACAGATAGTTATAACAACAGTAAGATGTAAACTTGGCCAGGTCAATAAAGCTTGGTAGAATGATCTCATTTTCTCCCTTTTCCATACACAAAAGTTATTACAGTACCTACTTTGAGTGGTATAGTTCAATTTCTGTTGACAAGGGCCTTTGAGATATCAGGGTGAAAATGGCTGGTAAATACACCTATAGCTGCATGACAGTGTGTGAAGAAGGAGCACCCATAACTTTGCCCTTTAGAAGTGCCTCCTGACTACTTGTAAGGAGAGGCCAAGCAGCAATCTGGAGCCTGTGCTCCTGAATATTTCTAGGAACATGAGCTGCTGGTGTGTAGCTACAGCATGCCATAGGGTGCTGTCCTTGGTGGATCTTTGTGCCAAAGAAGAAAAGCTTTTGTCAAATCCAGTTGATAGCGCTCCTCCACCTTTCTTTATAGCCTGCCTGGCAGCCAGCACAGGTGTAGTGACTGTCACCTTCATGGCTGAGCATAAATCGACATTTGGCTGCTCTTCTGACCACATCCTGGTTTAGTCTGGAGAGAGGAAGAAAAGATTTTTTCATCAAACCCAGACTTACTTTAAATGCCTCATTACGTATTCCCCTGCGACCAAGTCTGTTCTTACTAACATCAATGAATGTCAAAGTGGATGGTAACTCAGGGAGTTGCCTTATTCTATTTTCACGGAGCACCAGCTCCTGGAGTTGAGGCAGTCTCCGGAAGGCATCTTCATGGATCTCCGATATAAAATTTGCAGTCAGATCAATCCGCTTTAAATTGCCTGGTAGGGAAATTCGATATGGTACCATATCAGAGGTATTTCTTGAAACTTTTGAAAAATAAAAAGGCAGTTTATTTAAATTAGAAAAATTTTTCATCAAATATATTCCTAGCATGTGGTGTGATAGCTGTCTCTTTTTCTATAATGCACACTATGTAATCCACATTTGAGTGGTTATTCTAAGGAATAGGAACAACATTTCCTTCTCTTGTTTAAAAACTTGTATGTCATTCTTACAGATCTTTCAGTGAAAGATTTCAAAGGCAAGGATTTTATGATTTATATATATTCTGGGAATAAATGAGTTTTAAATGAGTTTTCTGTGAAAAAAAATAACATTCAAAGGGAATTAAATATTTTCTTTAGAAAACTTGTCCCACATGTTTCTTTACTGTCAACATTTCCCTACTGGAATACAATGTATGAAATCTGACACACTGTTTTTTTGTTTATCATACACTTTGTTTGCAACTGAAAAACAAGCTTGCTTTTGTAAAAGGAGAAAAATATATGAATATATATATGAAAAAATATATGGTTATTTTATTTTACTATTTTTCCAGTAGTATGTTTTGGCTTAAATATTTTTCCTCTGTCCTTAGCATTTATTTTCTTTGCTTTGCTATGTAAAACAATATTGAAGACAATTGTTTCCCTTCCCTATTTTCACCTCACTAGGCTGAGCAACCCAATCCCTGATAGTTTTCTTTCATAAGAAAATCCACTTCACTGATCTGCCATAGTAGTTTTTCTTTGCACTGATTCCACTTTGGTTACAGGTGACCAAAATGGTTCATAATATCCAGAGGAGGTCATACTCGTACTTTTCACAATAGCCTATTTCAGATGAGATCACATGGTTACCTTTTAAATTGTACCACAATGTGCCATAATATAAATGTACCAAAATGATCATTAAATAAGCATTCGCTACATAAAGTTAGGTCTAAAATACAAAAGAAAGAATGTGGTTTGATTTTTTAGAATGGCATGTAAATCAGTTCCTATTAAAACAGTGAGATGCTTAATACTTCCTGAAAAGCCTGAAAAGCTTAATACTATCTGAAAAGGTATCTTCAAGGACTCTCAAGTAGGAAACACAAAAGTAGAAAATAGAATGTCTCCCAATCATTTCCAGTTCTGGCTGGTTTCGGTCACAAAGCAAGTGCTTCTGGAAATATTTTCTACCTTTTCTTAACATTTTCCTAGGTAATTCTGGAGTAAACCAATGAAAATATATCTATATAAAGGCAAAGCTCCTTTCACACAGATATGCTGCTAACCTTACTAATATTTGAATGTATGTCTATATGAGAGCTTCCCTTGTTTAGGAAGAAAATGATTTCTAAAATGCTGCAGATTTTCCATATTTGTTTGTTTGTTGTTTTTTCATTTTAAGGTTAACTAAAAGTAACAGCAGAATCAGTTTAAAACATGATTATTTCTATTAAATTTTAAATTTGAGACTCTACATTCAAACCTTTAGATTCAAAAGTAGCAAAGAGGTTTTGTATATGTGTATTTATGTGTATAGTCCTACTGGCATTATATGCCAACATTATAAAAAATAAATCGCTATGCTTTAGATTAGTATGAGCAAAAAGAGTAGAAATTCAATATAATTGCATCAATACTATCATCCATACTCAAGTTAGCAAAGTCATTTCTGTTGATTCTTCTAATTCTATTGTAGCGGGAGTAGAAGTACATGGTTTTCTTAGGCAGTGGTGGAATAACGTGAAGCTCACGATCATCGCAGTAGACTGTGGTCCCTAGACATGTACACAAAAGGCAAGCTGGAAGATCTACAAAAGAATTTGAAGAAAAGCAGTTAGTTTTGTATGAAAATAAATAAATAAATAAATAAAAACAGAAAAAGGATGCATACATTGCCATAAAATCATAGCACTTTGTAGATAATGTATTCATTCTCCCCCCTTTTTTATCACTATATCGTATCACTTTTCAACAACAAAGTTATTAAATTCTTTCTTAAAACTATTTACTTTTTACTACCTATAGCGATGAGAAGGTTCTACTTGTTTGTTCTAATACAGTGTTTCTCAGTGTATACAAATAGAATATTAGATGGCAGCAGCCAGCCAAATTCCATTTCCCTCTAAGCTGTCAATGGTTTGCTTCCATCTAGATGAAGAAATAACATCTGCTGTTATGACTGGCTGTAAGAGTTTACGCTCATCAGGGGTCAGTTGACTCCCTTTAGTTGTTGGCAATTCATTCCCCCTGTGACTAGGGGAACATAATTTTGTCTGGCTCCCACTGTCCTGTGTGGGGGAACTGAACTGCTCTCAAATGAGAGTGACACACATGGGAGTAAGGAAGTGCATACATTTATTTTTAAAAATGCTGTGACAGTTAACAGTTAGATAACTAACAATAATAAGATTTAACTAACAGTTAATAATAAGTAGTTAATAATAAGATAACTTTCTTCATGGAGAGTTCGTACACGGTTTTTTCATCACCAGCCTGTTCTGTAGGTTAGATCGTCTAGGTTAGATGCCAGTATGTTAGCTAGATGCCACCTGCCGGGTTCCCTAGCCTTTATCTGCACCTGTTTCAATTTGTACTCTATTTATTTTAATAAGAGTGATCAGCATTGCATTTCAGGTGAGAATTTACTAGTACCACCTGCAAATATGGCAGAATGGACTTGTTTCCTTTCTGTCACTTCCTAGACTCTATTCATTGTCAGACTCTTCTTAAAAAAAAAAAAAA